GCAGAGAGGGGTGGATGTTTTGCTGTCCTGTTTTCACTGTGCTAAGTAAGTACTACAGAGCCTAGTTTCTGAGACTGTGGTTTCCTTAACCAGTAATCTATGCCTTGCATAGGGATTTTTGTTTGCCTTAATTTCAGATCTTTTTGTTTAATGTCACCTTTATCGAAGCATTGCTTTCTAAAATTGTAGCTGTTGTGTTTTGGTATCACGTCTCCTACCAGAATGTGGAACATAGTTATTTTTAGTATAATTCTTAGTAGTTCAATGCCTGTTAATTACAGCTGTGACTTCATAGGATGGGCTGAACTGATGTAATAGCTCGCTGTTGCCCAAGAGGGGTGATTCCCTGCCTGGCTCTTGGCTGCCTTGCTGCTTACCTCACATGAGCTCTGACACTCAGCGTGATGCCTGGGCCAGCACAGTTAGCTGACCTGGCAGAAAACTAACCAAAAAAAAGGGAGGCAGGTGGGTTTCTGCTGGCTTGGAAACATGAATCAGCTCCTAGAAGAGCAGTGTGGGTTTGAGAGAGGCTGAAGGGGAGGACTGCAGGGCTGAAAGCAAGGGGGATGGGAAGCTGTTTTCCTGAAGAGCGGAGCTAATCCAGGTCAGGAGGCCTGTCTGTGCTCTGGGACAAGTTATCCCGTGAAGTAGCAACTTGTTTAGAAATTGCTTGTCTGCATTTTGTTCAACACTTCACATAGGAAGTAGTCAATAACAGAAGCGCCCTGTTGTTACTGCCTTAGACTTTGCTTTTCGGCCTAGTTTTTGTTGCAGCATTGTATGCTTCATAGTACCAGCTTCTATTTGAAGGACAAATATAAAGTTGGCAAGAGATTTACCTCCTTGGACCTTGGCTTTTATGTCTATACTGGTTCAGCTGCACAGACGTCTCCTTGTGAATCTACTGTTGTGGCATACATTAGGGGCAGTGCTAAATATTAGCCTTCCTTCTCCTTTTCTTCTTGTATCTCCTTTCCTTTTCAGACACATGCACATGCTCATCTTTTGCTTGGCTGATGTTTCCCAGATAGCACCCATCTGAGTACTGCTCCCCACTCCGTTGCTCTTTCCTTCTTTATTTCAGAGTAATAAGGTCTTTCCAGTTATGAGGCATTTTGGTTAATGAATTTTTGTATAATGCAGTATCAACAAACCCTAGATTTTTCTTAGCTTTTATTTTTAGTGAGTGGTAGTTTTTTAAATTGCATTTTGATCTGGTATTTTACTGTTGTCACAGAGACACTAGTAATTATTTCCTGTTTAATGAGGTAGTGCTTCTCCAGCTTGACCTAGCAGTTGGTGGATTTTTTTTTTTTTTTAACACTTCCCCAGATATGGCAGTCTAGAACTCTGGAAGAGTGTTGTTCATTTAGCTGCTGGTAGAATGAGGGTCTCTATATGGTTTTCCAGAGCAGACATTGTATGAGTGCTGCATACATTTAGTAAAGTGACTACATGTAGATGCAGGCATTGTAGGCCAATCTTTCCTTATGGAAAACCTGTGTAATGCATTCCCATTGACATAGTGAAATCTGCATTTGAAGAAATTAGTTGCAGGCTCCTGCCCATGGAAACAGGGATGGGAGGAAAAACTCTTGTCTATTGCTTTTTACCTCATCATCACAAAGGCTGGGAGTTAGAGCACTTAAGGTACAAGTAGAAACGAAAAATAAACATGTATTTTCTCATATGAGCCTCTGAAATTTTTAGTTGCATTTGCCAACTCAGAAATACTTGTTTGAAACTGCTCTTCAGCCAGCTATTCTTTATTTGTGCTCCAATCTCAAAACCCATGAATAATTGGCAACTTTGATGTGATTATGCTAAATGAAAGCATAAGGCAGTGTCCTCAACATACTGAGCTATTGTATGGTACGTATGCAAGCACCCTCAAAGTAAGAGTCAGTCAGCTCCAACACATGTTGAAAAGCATACGGTACTTCAGTCTTTCACAGTCTCTAAATCGTGTGAGCTTAGGCAAGAAATTGTCTTGTAACTGATGATTTCAAAGGTATTTGATGAGATCTGGTAAAACCTGTCAGGGGTACCTAATCCTTATCCTTTGCAAGGAACCCTTGCGTTGCTACACATAATCTCTTTTTTTAAATACTCAGATTAATAAAGGCAATTCATATTCTTTCTTGTGACAACATCTTCAATGCTAAGAACCCAAATGGAATAGGATGCAAAGTGATAACTTAGATTGTCAGTTTCAAGTCATGTTTTTTTAAGTAACAGTTTATTCCCTGAAGGAGTTGGTAACCTGCCATTCCTGAAGGCATTAGTGACATGCATCAAATCAGGTTTTGGTCCTCCTTTTTGCCTTTCATGAGCCCTGGCTGATACTGGTCCAGAGAATGGCTAGCTGGCCAAAGAGTCCCACTGCTGCTGGTGTTGAAGAATGTCTAAGCTGAAGGTGAAAAGACACAACATTTGTTCTTTCCTGCCCACAATTTTCAACAGTTCTTTTGAGAACATGATGTTGAAGAAGAAATCCCTTTGTGATGGGAGAGGGCTGAATTGGCCACGAGGTGTGGAGAGCGCATGTTGGGCAAGGCTGCCTGATGCTCAGACTCTTCCTTTTGCATGTCCTGCTTCAGATGTATGTATGGGTATATCTATAGATCTATCTGTCTACTGTTGATAGTTTTTTGGTATTGCCATCACATAAGACTTTGTGATGAGTATCCTCATATGTTTTAATTGGATTCATTCTGAAATTGTCACTAGCGCCTACCTACCCATCTTGCTTTAGTTGCCATAGCACTCTGCAGAGCATAGTGACCTATGGAGCCATAGTCAGATAAACAAATTCCTGACAGCTGGACACAGTATTGTTTAAAATAAATAAATAAAAATAAATTACTAAACATTTTTTCCTAGACTAGCAATGTCCCCGAAGCCTGTGAAATATTTCCAGCTTGGCTTGCACATCCCAGCTGCATGTAGGATGCATGACTTCAGGATCTCCTCACTTGTATCCATTACAGTTGTTTCTAATTTATTACCTTACTAGTACAAGTTGCCCCAAAACAGGTCTTCAAGTTTTAACAAGACTCCCTGATGAGCTCAGGTTTTCGTTGAACCTTAAGTGGGGTGGCAAATAATGACTTGCAGGGAAGGCTGCCAGAGAAATTTTACTTTTTAACTGTTTTTTCCCCAATCTATCAAGTTTGGACTACTCTTTGACTTCTGTAGGATTCCCACTGGTCTCAGGATCTATCGATGAGCGTCTGCCTGGAAATTATTTGCCACTGTCAGTACTCCCAGCATTGCAGAAGAGCATTGCCACACCAAGGAATAGTGAGAGGTTTTATATCAGCTGTGCTAGGAATGACTTGGGTAGATCTCCAGACACAGGAGTACACATTGCATTTATTTCCAGACTTTATTGCTGGCTATTTTGTATAGTCTGAGGGTTTTTTTCCCTCCACCTGTCATTCCACAGTCAGCTCTCAAGCTGCCATGTTAAGAATCATTACTTTATAATATTTGGTGAATGTCATGGGCAGTCAATATAAGGTGTGACTCCTGAGCTCTTAAAGTGACTTAAATGAAACCATTAGCCACTGTAAAGGGGGCACCTGTCTGCATTTTTAAGTGCTGTAATTCTGACCTTTTTTTGATTTGAAAGTGGATGAGGAAAAAAGCAAAAGCAGGACTGGTCTCACCTTCTGTGCCCTGTGTAGGGGATAGAGCAGGCATGACATTCAATGCAGTGGAGATCCATCCAGCACAGTGCAGCTCTGGGTACCAAAACTCCCCTGGGGAGAGAAGCCGTAGCTGAGCATCCTTCAGGAGCTGTTGCTTCAGCACTGGGGAGCAGCTTTGCTGCTCTCTCCCCAGACACGGAAGTATCCTGAAAGCACTGGGCAAATGGGTTTCAATTAGTAGTCAAATGCAACAGTTCTAGAAGAGAAATCGTTATTATCACAATATATGCTGCTTCTTAATGGCTTTTTAAAAATTTAGCTTTCTTGGTTGCTCAGCAGAACATCAGCTTTAGCATGGCAGAGGCCTGTACAAAGTGCAGTTAAGCTGCTGAATAATTGTGGCTGAAGTTAGCCACAGAGCTGCTGTTTAGAGGGGAATGCTTTCTAACGCCTTTGTTGCTGGTTTGTTTTCTTCACACCCTTGCAGCAAGGTGAGGATGCTGTTGCTGGCGGAGAGTAAGGACCAAGGGGCATGTAGTGAAATGAGCAGGAAGCGTTGCATCACACTTGTGGGAGTCTTGGAAGCAGTCACATATGCTTCAGGGTGCAACCCTTGATGCTCCCTGGGCCCTGTTTGTCTGCTGTGAGATCCATTTATGTTATAACTGCTTTGCAGTCAGTATCTCAGTGGTCAGTTTGTTTATGGATTTTAATACGTAACCACAACATGGTCGAGGACTTGTGCAATTTAGGACTGTTGTATGGCAGCACAAGGTTTCCTGAGCATAGTTAAAGCTTCAGATCTCAGTACAAATTAGCTGCCCAGTGGGATGTTTTTTGAGATAGCTTGCTTTGTTGTTAGAAAATAAATCCAGTGTGAGAAGTTTTGTTGGAAGAGTGCTTCTTACAAACATGTACTGGAGGAGAGCATGCTAGCTAGAGAATTCTTACTGTTTGGTTCACTGTCATTAAACACAGATGTGGATTGTTTTAAATTAATGTTTTGGATATAAGAGAAATCAGTAATGATGCTTATCAAATTAAAATATATGCTGTAATCCCAGTAAAAGATAGATCATTGGTGGGTTTGGAAAAAATAATTCTAACCTTGCATGAAATGTCAATATACAAGATGTTCTAATTTATTGGCTTCTCCTGAGGTTGTTTTTGTTTAAAAACCCCCCAAACCCCAACAAGTAGTTACATTGTTTTAGACCCTTGCACATCTCAGTTGCTCTTTGACTCTGCATTGTCTAGACAGAGAATGTCAAGTTGAGAATACAGATCTGATTGCTGTGGTCTGCTTTCTAAATATTCTTTTTTTTTTTTTCATTTTTTTCTTTGTAGGCTCGAAATGTCAACACGGGTGAGCTAGCAGCAATTAAAGTAATAAAATTAGAACCAGGTAAGTGTTTCTTAACTGAAATAGGCCATGGAAACAAAATATTTTCATGCTTAAGATACAATTGTACAAAATCAATTTAGTCCACTTACTGAAAGAAGGGATAATTGTTGCCTTTTAGTGTAGGGCAAAAAAGTTCTAAAAAATAACAAGCATGAGAACTGAGGTGAGAGAGGAAAAAATTTAACTGGAGAACAGTTAAATGAAAGCTGATAAAAACTTCAGAAAAAGTTGTGGGTTTTTGTCTTTAGTATGTTTTCAATCCATGTGATACAAAACCCTGTATAGATAGAACAATAGAAGTGAGGAAGCCAGCAAGGCAGAAAAGAACTCACCTGGAGAGAGTGTAGAGGAAGAAATAAAAAGAAGGAAGAGTGTAATAATGGGTGAGTATCAGTATCCGGGAATTGAGTACATTTCCTGAAATTCACTTGGAGACTCTGATTAAGACATCATTGTGTGATAGACTTATGCTTGAACGGGGCTTAAGTTGTGATTTCACAAAGTATGTATGCCCTACAAGGTCAGTTATCAGCCTGCAAGTGCTCTTCTATTAATATGGCTAGACTTGTTGAACAAGGGTACAGTAATCTGGAAAGTGTCCAGACTTTTTGTTTAACTTGCAACTGTTGGTGTTCTGTTTCGAGATGTAATGTTGGGGGTGGTGGTGTAGTATTTTAACTACTACCTGGTTTGATCCTTAAGGTCTCTGCACACAAGAAAGGAAAGAAGTTGTTACTTTCCTCCATTTTTTTCTCTTACAATTCTGGAATTGATTAGAAATGTGTTTATATAATTCATGCACATTAAAAAAAAAAAAATCAAAGTAGGACAGTGTGTTACTATGTAGTTCCAAAAGTGTATGTTTATCACGCTTCTTATATTCACGCTGAAAGTCATGGTCTTGGATTACCTTGTCTAGTTCTGCTGCTTTGGCTTTTTATGTCAGTTCCCATTGCTGGAGTACTTGGCTGTGCATGACGTGGGTTACCAGTTCAGCTAACATGCTGTGTCTTCCTATGGAACTGTAAAGATAAAACAGGGAAGGAGACTTGTGTAGTGGGGAAAGAACCGTAGGACTCAGCAGACTCAGATGATGTCAACCTTTAAAATAATGCAGCTTTTTACTTAGCTGACTACTTCCACGCTCAATAGTATGAAGTGACTTGGTTGAAAAGAGTGTTGTATAAGTTGTGCTGAGTAGGACTTGGAGAATCATGCTGTGTGTGTTGCCTGAGCTGTGGACAGAGCCTGGGGATGCGTTGCAGCTGGGGTAACTTGCCCTCATACTATGCTGATGGTGATAACAATTGGCATCTTGCATCTGAATCAAGTATTTTTGGCAGCCTTTGGATACCTGTGTGGTGCACGGAGAATGTGCTTTGGCTACCTTCTGTTTGCTTAGCGAGCTCAGTTTCTCTCTGTAGCTGTCGCTTCCAGTTGCGGTAAAGGCTTGACTCACAGCTTCAAATGGGCAGCATCCGCATTCCAGAACTGTGGCACTGGCTTTCTTTGAAAATTTTGCAGGCTGGGGGAGAGTGTGAAGACTGAGGGTTAATAATATTTAGGCACTTACTCTAAAGTTTATGCTACTTTAATATTTTGGATGCGGTTGAAAACACTGGTCAAATCCTGGAGGAATAGCATCCTTTCACAGAGATACCTGTCTGTATGTGAAAATAATTTCTTGTTTGCTCTTCAGTGTTTGCATATATTTCAAGGTCTAGCCAGGGTACAGCAAGCCATCAGCAATACACCATGGGAAGTATACAGTCTGTTGTGATGCTAACTTGCAGTTCGTGGTTTGAAATTTGCTATCAGTTAAATAAAATACACTTGAATTATCAGATTTCTGGTTAAAAATAACCAAATGGTTAGGTCACCGGTATGTTAATGTATTGGGAGAAACTTAAAACGTTTTCTTAGGTAATGGCATGTCCAGTTCTCTTGGAATTTGTGTTATGTTTGAAAATTATTAACAGCCATATTTGAGAAGTGATTTTGGGTTGTGACAATTGATAAATATGAGCTTAGTGTATACATTCAACTTTACAGACAATAGCTTTGGCTTCTGTTTTAAAAGCTCTCTTGAGTTATGCTGAAGTGTGCTACAGCATTACACTAAAAGGAGACATAGTGTGAATTTTCTTGTTTTTTCAACTTGCTTATAGAGTGTCTTAAGTTATTTAGTTAAATGGTTGGTTTAGGTCTTCAGTCTTACTTTACCTATGAAGTCCTTGAAGTTAGTAAGAATGAGTTGTTTTTTGTGAACTGTCTGTATCTAGTAACTAAACAAACTTCAGAAGAACTTCTTTGTAAATAGCATACCAGACTAACTACAATTTGCCCTTATGACTTAAGAAATTTCAGAGGAGCTCCAGTGTAAGATACTGAACTGCAGAGGAGCACTTGACATGTATTTCTTTAAAAAAAAAAAAAAAAAAAAAAAAAAAAATTAATTTAAAAAGCTGTCAAATATCCGTTACCAACATTCTCTTGCATCTTGATGTCTTTCTCGCCTTCCCTCTTTAGCTTACCTACAAAACCCCTGCACAACACACCCAAAACAAAAGCGTCTCTGGGAAGCATGTTGGGTTTTCAGTTTTGTACATTATTTTCTCTGTACACATCTGGTAAGAACCTTTTGTAGAAAGACAGGGGCAACTGAGGTACTAAATAGTAAGACTGCCACATCTATGTCAGTGTTTTATCTGGACATAAGTTATGCACAGTCCATAAATTTATGTGCTTACTGAGTTTTCTGAAAAGTTGCAGCAGCATGCTATTGGATGGGTTTTGCTCAGGAAGATGAACTAATGGGTGTTACACATGTGGTCAAAAATAGTGAAGTTTTTTTGTGTTTTTAAGAACCTGGGTTATTGGCAGGGTGCATGCAGATGCACACCGCAGGATCTGGGGAAAAATAAAGATTTTAGAAAAAGCTATGACCAATATCATGAAAGGAATCAGATAGCAAATGTGAGGTCCATCTGGCCCAGAATGAAACTTCTTAAGAATATAGTTACTTATTGCTAAGCCCTTGCTGATAAATACTGGTTTACAGCTGCTTTATATGTCTGTGAAACTGGCAGATAATTAGTTTTAATTACTCAAAATGTTTATTTTATAAACATGTACTGAAAGTCTAGTTGAGATTTGAGTATGAATATTCATTCTTCTTTTCAGGAGAAGATTTTGCTGTTGTGCAGCAGGAAATCATTATGATGAAAGACTGTAAACATCAAAACATTGTTGCTTATTTTGGCAGCTATCTCAGGTACAGTTTGTTTCTTTTGCTCACTTAAAAATGCCTGTCTAGCTCATTGCAAAGGACAGGTCTATAAGGTGAGTTAGGCAAAACATAATTTACCGAATAAATATTATCCACTTTTATATATTTATTTTTTTTCATTTACCTTAAAATCTGTTCTGTTTACTACACTGTCTCTCTATAAAAAATGTTTCTCATAGCAAAATCTTTCGGTGACCATGTTTCCATGGAAATGAGTTGTCATTTAAAAGCTTTGAATTTAATACATAAATGGAAAGTTAAGCAGAAGTATGACAAGTATGAAGGAAGAGTCTGTATATATAGTATCTTTTAAATCTGTTTCAGTAAAATGTCTCTTAAATATGTAAAACTTTGGGAAGTACAAATATTGCATAATATAGAGTTCTCAGATACGTTCTGACTTAATTTTACATGCCAACACCAGTTGTCTGAGAACTCAAAACTGAATGTTATGGGGAAATAAGGATGAAAAAACCTGGTTTTTTCCTTGCTTAAGCGTATTAGTGCTATGTTAACCTTTAAGGACAATTTCATACTGAAGTACCCAAGTGTAAACCGTGAAGCCTTTAAAAAGCCCATGGGTGATTTGTGTTTTGGATTTGTTTTGGAATCTAAAAATGACTAATATTCTAGCTCTTTTATCTTTGCTTTTCCCTTTTGAGTTGCAGAGTTGTTTAGGACACTTAAAGTTAGTATACGTAACTTGTTCTGGCTCATTATTCTTTTGTGTAATTCCTTTTGTAAGGTATTATGCTTATTTTTTACAAGTATGGTAAACTCATACTCCATGCAAAGGCTCAGTATTGAAAAAATTGGCTAGCTTCTAATAACGTTTGCTATTTTAATTTTTTTTTAATACATCCTGACAAATGTTTTATGCAATATATAGCAATCGCGTGATATTCAAGGACTAGTCCTTTTAATGCTGGATTTTGTGAACCTAATGTTCCCATAATTTTAGGCATATGCCATGTAATAAAAGTTTGTAAAAGGGTCTGAAAAGTCGTGATGCTCTTTATGGCAGAGGCTTATCATTCCTTTTGATTATTCACGTATCTTCTGTCTGCATGGGGACAATAGAGGTGGGACATGGTATCTCTGCATGTTGTGAAGGTTTCTAGACTACTCATAATAGGAAGATGCCAAGGTGAGTTACTCACACATGTGCTAGACTTTGCCAACTCCAGCTGAAAATCTCCTGCTGCAGCCAAAAGCTTTTCAGCAATCTTGGCCAAGTGCTTTTGGATTGGGGGTGGTATGATATAGATGGTATATTCACATGAAAAATGTTGGTACATGAAAGCCTTTCAGCAAAAAATTGCCATCTTTGAAGCAGGAATATATGACAGAATTTGGCTCTTACATTTGGAGTGCATCTTTTCCTTTTAAAAAGCCCTTCAAATTTGACCAAGTTATCTTCTGAGATACTGCATTTATTTTACTTTCATTCTAGATCAGCTAGAGCTTGGGATATCCCAGTTACTGTTTCTTTTCTAGCCATCAGTGTCTGGTTTGTGCATGTTCGTAGTGCTACAGAAGAGCTAATGCGTGCTCCCTGGCTTGCTTGGCCGTTGTTGAGCATTCCTTAATTTGCTCTGGGATGAGCTGGGACAGAATGTTGAAATGGCAGGTGTGGAACACTTTGTGACTTTGATGCTGAACGTCTGTGTGGTTGGAGCAGACTGAAATTGGATAGCACTGAGTGTGCCAGAACTTAGAAGCAGTGTTGGGGAAGAGAGAAAGTCCTGGCAATAAATGCTAGAGAAGGAGAGGTCTCATGCAGAACCTCAGCTGACTAATGCTGTCCTGAGGAGTTTCATCTCCCTGACTCCTGTATTCAGTGTCATGAATAGCCCTGGATGATCACTGACGCCGTGTTTTGTCAGTGGTGGGGTTCACTTCATCTTTCTTGGTGAGTATCTTGCTAGCTTTTGTCTGATGAGTGAAAGCATTGCATGCTGACAAATGCAACTAAAATCAATAGAATCTGTGTTTTGAATTATGTTTGCTTTATAGTTAGCTTTTCAAAAGTCTGTAGTGGAAAAGCTGGTCACATTAGTAGTTCCCAAGCATAGTTTAGTGTGGAATACGAAGGAACTTTCCAAGAGCAAATATATTTTCAGAATAAGATTAAGTAGAAATGCACTGATAGTATGAGAATGAAGTGGAAAGCAAGCTGTTGACTAGCCCATTAGGTGAACACCATCTGTATGCTACACTGAATGAGGCTGGGAGTGTGTGATTGTGTACTGCTTGCATTATCGTGTATACATGTGCCGGAAGGGATCGAAGTCTGAAGATAAAATCAACAAGCTATGCTGTTCTGGCATCCTATATCTTGAAGGATGCTTGTCTTGGCAGCCTGATTGCTTTTTTAATGCTTTTTTAATGCCAAGATGGTCCGTGAGCTACATTATGCACATATTTGTGTGGGTGTGCATACAGATAGAGCGTGTGTACATGGAGGGACTTGGTATTGCAAACTAGGAGTGTCTGTACTTCAGTTTTGAATGTTTAAGGTTAATTTGAAGGTTAACCTAAATTGGGCGTTATTTCCATTCTGTGCAGGACCGGCAGGCTTCTTGTGCATGAACAGTCAATTCTTAATACTGCTACATACTACAGTGTCATGTTAAAATTTTTTTGAGAATTTGTGGATTTACTAGTCTGTTTGACAGCATCTTACAGACTGTCAGGTGGTAAAGTTGATAAGGGATCTTGTAATCTCCTAAACGCAGTATTTGGAAGCTCCATGTTACGGTAACTAAGCTTCTTAAAGGGATGTTGCATTTTCTGAAAGTTGTGTGGCTAGGACCACATAGTGTCCCACCCTCCTTAATCTTCCTCCCAACCTCAAAGCCTGCCTTTGTTTGGGAAGAGATTACTTTCTTGTATGTTAAGATGTCCTCCACTGCATATGATTACTTTATTTGTACCTGTCTGTAGTAATGGTAAGGAAGTTGTGTCAACATTTTTCTTGATGTGTGACATTAAGCCTGGCATGCTCCACAAAGCTGGAAGTCATTGTTACAAACCTTTACAGAAGACAAATTTAGAAGAAAGAAGTAAGTGAGGAATGGCAGAGGGGAGGGCTGGGGCTCTGCAGTGCTGTTGAAGTTACCCCAAGCTGTTTTTTTAACATACGAACTTCTGACCGGAATGTGATGGTTCCATTTGTGTTTGTTTCTGGAGGTGAGATTATTGGCGTTGTAGAAGCACTGACAAATGTATCCAGTTGTCTAACCAGCTGCTTCTTTTAACTAGTCATAATGGGAAGAGATTGCTTAGTGTAACTAATAAAAAGTTGTTTCTGATAACTTTTTAAGTTTTCACCTGAAAACAGACTGTGAACAAATATTATTGTTGCATTCAGTTTCCTTTAAAATTTTTAGGTTGAAATGGTGCCTCTTCTCGTGATGCTGTATTCAGGCTGGGGATGCTTTTTCTTTAAAAAGCAGTTTCCCTCTTGTCTCAGGGTATCAAAATATACCTTTGTAGACCCAGAATTAAATTTTGGCACATAAAGTATGTATTTTGGCACTGTCTTGTGGTCTTGGTTGGTCCCCTCCCCATTCTTTGGTCCAGTGCTTCTCTTTCTTTCGTTTGTGCAATCAAACGGCTGTCTTTGAGGCCTCTCATTGACCTTTTGTTTTCCAAGTATCTCTCAATGCTAAGAACAGGAAGAAAAATACCATCTTCCTATACTTGGCACTTATCAGCATATTGTTCCTCATGCTTTTCTTCTGTTTACGTATGGCTTTTCCAGACAGTCAAATTTCTGCTTTGCTGTTAGCTTAGGTGTTAAGTTGCAGACACTAAATGGTACTGTTGATCCTGTCTGTTTTGTTTGCTGTGCTTGCCATGTGCTCTGCTGACACGGGTAACTGCATACACTGTTACTGTTGATTACATGGATCTTTGCCTGTCTCAAAGCTGTTAGGCACAGTTATAAAAGGCTAGATAGCGTATTAGAAATGCAATCTCATCTTTTGATCCTCATATGTTTTTAGCCTTTTCTGTAGGGCTTTTCCCTGCTGGCAAGTTAATGCCCAGTAAGTGAAGGTGTGAATTTACAGCACTTATCTACTTCAGGTCTTTTACTTTGTGGGTGCTCTGGTGCTGTCCCAAGGCTGCTGTGGTTGTCCTGCTCTTTTCCCACTTCCACTCTGCTGCTGCTAGTGCCCCCAAAAGTGTCCCTGTCTGAGCCCTGCATCACTGTGAGGAATAAACAAGGGACTTGAAGATGTCTGTCTCTTCAGTGCTTCTTTCTTACTCGTGTTCCCCTGCCGCCTCTGCTAATTCTCTTTTCTTTCACAGGTAATGACATTGCTTCTCTGTCTGACTTTGATCAGTTATCTCAGTGGAAAGCCTTCATATTATTTCAAGCAATGCTTTAATTAACCCCTAGAAATGTATGGAGTTAACAGCCAGGGCCTTCCATTGCTTAAAACCTCTGTAGTGCCTGAACAATACCTTTTCCACCACTAGAGAAAGCAGCCAGAGTGTAGCTTTGAGGACCATGTGGACTATGGACATAAGAGGGGAGAAGATCCAAAAAAGAGTTCTTCCTTGGAACAGCAGCTATTCTAGCTGTTACCTGCTGGTGAGAAATACTTGCATTTTGCAGTTCAGGGGATAAACTCAGCACTTACACCATTGCCTTGCAAAAACACTTCCATGAATGTTGGCATTGCTCACTGATGTCTCAGCTATTCTAACAGAGCCTTATGAATTCAAGAAACCCAAGAATAGGGGTTGTGGGCAAGCTGCATAAAAATCATCAGTCTTCCATTTGCTTGTCCCATGTCTCAATCTGCCCTAAGGTGGTTGTATGCAATTTTTCTTTCCTGTGTGATTTGATGGCCAGGAATAACTAGGCAAGTCCTGAATTTTCTGCTCTCCAAAATGCCTTTTTGCAGCTGCATGTGGTACATCTGTCTTACCAGTGAAAATTACAAAGTGAAGATAGAATTTAGTGCCCATAATCGAAGATACCTTTGAATCCTTCAGCCCGTTGTCTGTTCTTGGAAAGCACCTTTTATGGAGGTATAGTGAGTCAAACTGGATTGATTCCCTTACAGGAATCTAAAGAACTTCCCTCTGACCCCTGCCACCAAAAATATCCGTATGTATTTTTGAGGGGGAAAAACTGCATCTGAGAAGGCACTTATACACAGTATGGGCTCCACTCTGCCTAGCTTTGACTAAAGAACTAAAGTTTCACTCAATTTGTGGTGAAAGAAATTGAGTTGAGCGATATCCCCAGGGCTTTTTGTTTTGGGTTTGTTTCTTTTTTTTTCTTTTTTATTTCTGTTAACTCCTCTGAAAAAAGCGGAGAAGTGAAAATGAGGAAGAAATAAGAACGCATATCTGTTTTCTCTCTGCTCTTGGAAATAATATATTTCATTTTCATAGTAGATCTTGAACAAAAATTAGTGTGTATGTTTCACTAATGCTGTTTCTATTACTCTGATAAACCCTGGAATATTTTGGGTATTTCATTAGTTATTCTTCTGACAGCGAAATATCACATAAAGGTTAAATCATATTCATTGTTTGACTTGTACTTTTTGTAATACAGAGCTTGTTATGTTGTGCTTTATAGTGTTTGAGTCCTCTTGACTTATGTCTAATAGGTGCTTTTTTCAAATCTGATAGCTAATGAATGGTTTTGTTCACTTTTTAGACGAGACAAGCTATGGATTTGCATGGAGTTTTGTGGAGGTGGTTCTCTGCAGGATATTTATCACGGTACGTCAAGACTGTAATTCCTTAAAATCTAAGTAAAGCTTATTTTCAAAAAATTGAGATAATTACAATGTTTTTGGAATCAGAGAGGAGGAATCCTAAATTTAGCATCCATAATAACCCATTGAAGGTCAATTTTAGCTTATGTACTTACATAATTGTTTGGGTTTGGTTTTTTAAACATAATTAGCTATAGTGGGGTTTTTTGAGCAGCAAAAGTTATTTCCTTCCTTCACTAGCTCATGCACCCATCACTACTTTCAAAGGCTGTAAAATTAGACAATATTGTTTTGTAAAAATAAAAAAAGTATGTCCTGATGTGCTGTCTTACTTTATAGACATTTTGTTTCTGAGCTTTTGAACTTTGCTTTAGTATAATCTATACCACCACCTACAGATACCTAGATGAGTGGATTGATTAGCATGGATGCTCTTGTCCTTTGTAAACAGTGATCTTTTATGTGTTTGTATAGCAGCAGTGCCATGAGGGTCTCTCTCTCTTTTTTTTTTTTTTTTTTTTTTTTTTTTTTATGCTGGATGTATGGCATGTGAAAAGCAAAGGTTGCCTATATATTTGCTTTAGACTTAGGTGGAATGAGTGGTCAAAGAAACAAGGGGTGTGTATGAGTCTATTGCATAAAGGGGATCAGTCAACTGATTGCTAGTTTTCAAGACACAGAATCAGTTTTGAGTGGTTTTATTGCCCTGGAACTAAGACTTGCTTAGGAAAAGAGTATGTCATGAGTAATAATAGCTCTGTGGTTCTTGGGTGATGTTTTTTAGACAGGAAATCTGTCCATATTTTAAATTGTGAAGATTTTACATGTCAGAATCTTCACATCCTTCTCTTCTGCATAAACAGCTTGTATACCTTTTTACATTTAACTTGGGTGCTGTTAAAACAAGGCATCCGTTCACGAGTTCACACCGTGCTCGTGGCACAGTCATTTAAGCATGGCCTTGTTGATCCTTTGCATCTTTGCTAGTGTTGATACAAGCATCATGTCTAATAGGCTTTGTTATGTGGAACACCTGTAGAGTAGGAAATGAACTAATGCCACATAAATGCCTGAACAGATGTTGTACAGGAGTGGTTTCCTGTTGCAGCTGATTTTTGGCTTATCTGCCCATAGTTAGAGTGGAAAGTTCTTTTGTGATCCTAATTATATTCCAAAGGGTCTTACTCCAATTGAACTGTAGGCCTCTGTAACCTTAAGTCATTTAAGTTAATCAGAATTCAATTTCTCAAACATACATGCCTAGAAAAATGTACTCTGGGTGCTAATACATTTAGTTTTATGTGGGTTTGGAGCTTTTCTTTCAGAAAAGCAAAGATGGATCTAGACCTATTCTGAAGGTGAATATTGCATGGTACTAATTTCTATTCTGGTTGTAGGTTTTGTAGAAGGTATGCAGTTAGGTGCTTAAATCTTGTTTCATTTTTAACTCCTTACTCCTTCAGTTTCCTTTGAGAAACCCCATCCAACTTTTCTATTTGTTTTCTTTGCAAACCCTGAGAAACTTGCAGTGAGGACTGCATTTCCTGGTCTTAAAACCCTTTAATTTCGGGATCAAAGTCCAGTGACTGGGGACAAGTCACAGGCCATGCCTTGCTTGCTGTTCAGTGTTTGGTTTATGTATTTGTTCAGAATGTAATTGTTCTCCTTTAAGAGACTTGAGTGAAGTGGGCTGCTGGAGGGAGGGAAAGACTACTTCTTCCCAGGGGAAGCTGCTGCACCTGCTCAGAGGCAGAGTTTCAGAAGGTACATGGTGTGGCAGGCCCAGGAGCAACAGTGCTGGTAGCTCATGCAGAAAAGGGTTGAGTAGCTGCAGAAAGCAGGTCACATGGCTGCAGGGAAGACAGAGCAGGTTGCATGGCAGCGGGAAGGATGGAAGGAGGGAGCAGGTTGCAAAGGGTAGAAGGAACTTTATAGGGCGCAAAGGGGACTGAGCAGAGTTTTCTGCAGCTCTGAGTCACTGGGTTGG